GATTATTTTTTTAAAAAAACAATTCATGTTTCTGTTCCTGTCAAAGTAGATGAGACTGGCATTGAATTTTCTGTATTATGTTGAGAATTGTTAACTATTTAGAGAGCTATTAATGTATCATGACAAGATTTCTGTACTATTTATTAAGATATTATATATTTTCTAAATTTATATGATTATCTATGTATTGAGATATAAATATAGGAAATATTATAATATATATAAAAAATTTTTAAACCTGAAATCACTTAATAAAGGATTTTGAATTACCATATATGCAAGTACAAGGAGTGATATATAATATTTAATAATCGTTTTTGTTCTTTTCAAAAATGATATATTGTAATTATTCATTTGATTGAATTCTTTACTTAAGCTTATATCAATCATTTTATAATACAAATCGATGCACTATCAAAATTCAAGGAATATTTTTAAATTCTAAGATTTACCAAGATTTGACCAAATTATATTTTTTTTGGTATAATGCATTTGAATTTAGATTCACGGTAGTAATTTTTAAATATAAAAATTCTATTGTTAAATATAAAAAGACGCTTTCTTTTAATAATAAAATTACGCGTAAATAGATAAGCAATTTTATTAAATATAAGATGCATTGTAATTAGTAGTTGTACTATATCTAAAACTTGTATGAAAAGTCACTAAGACAAAGTCAAATAAACAATAATTTCTTTAAACATGTTTGCTTATAATTATTAACCTTGCGATTGTATTTCTTGATCCAATATTTATAATTCTACAAAAATTTAAAATGATGAATTTACTGTAGTAAAAAATTATTTGACTCGTCTAGCGATAATAAATATAATAAATATACTAAGCTTAAGTAAAAAGCCCTATTTTCTAATAATTTGTAATCTAAACCTCATACTGACAATCATCCAAAATCTACTATGCTCCTCTTGAATAAACTATATACGTATATATTTCTGTATTTTTGAGAATTAGACACGTATAATTATACTTTCTAACAAGATTAAAATTTTTAAAAACTTACCTATATCTATTATAATAAATTGGTAAAACCCCAATTCAAAGCATAAAATTTTTTCTAAAATCCAAACTCCAGGTATAATCATCTCTTGAATATCAAGTTTCTATTAAAAGTGTAGGTCACAAAATAATAAGCATTATTTTAGCATATACTCTAATGAGTCAACTAAACTTGTGAAATAAGCAACTTAAAAACAGCAGAGGCTTGCGAAATTGTGAATAGCGAAAAGCATTGCTTGATGAACTAATTTTGATATTTGTACTGTTAGATGATAATGATTTTAATTATATAATAAAAAAAATTTTAAAATCTCGAGAAATTTTCAGTCATGCTCAAAGAAAACAGAAAGATTTGTTAATATATATTTGTAATTTACCTGATCAACAAATATTTGATGCCTTTTCTCTTTTTCAAATAATGGTTTATATTCAGAGAGATCATTAAGGAGAGCTAATTTCCACCTATTTGCAAAAAAAAGCACAAGATTTTATTAATGATAGTCTTTATAAATTAGATAATAATATTTATATATTAAAATTACAAAATAAAAATTTACAACAAGAAAATAACTGTTTAACAAAATATAAAACTATCGCAGGTACAGTCGACTCTGGATATAACGAACCTTTTTATAATGAACACACTATATAATGAACTTTTTTTTTAAAATTTATTATAGGTTCGGTATATAAAATATAATAAATTACTATATAATGAACTTTTTAAAAA